CAACACCTGATGGTTAAAAAGCTGGTGGTGATCCGATGATTAAAATTTCCTGGGTAGCGATGCTTGAGCCCCCGTACGCTGTGCTGTCATTGTCTCTCCTCGGCTTCATAAGAAAGGCAGCACTGCAAGGGGAAGCAAGAGAGGAAAGAGAAAATATAAACTTTCTCACTCTTGTCAAAAGGTGGCTGGCTATGCTCACCAACTTTTCCTCTAATTTTTGAAGCATAAAGAGCCCCCACCCCCCACCCCCATGCACACACACACCCCTTTCCCCATGGTGAACTTGGTACTTTCTTTACTTTTCCCCCCTCCTGTCATACTGGTGACTTTGACAATTCACTGGTCAGTCATGTTTTTCAAAGAGTGGCTAAAGAGAAGAGGAAATACATCACACAAGGGTGTCTGTAGGGTCAGACAGAAAGCAGTGGCCTTTCTTAACAGCCTTGCACTCAGTTTATTTAAAGTGCTGCTGTCAAGAGGGATAGGGAAGTGGAGACTACGCTTCGGAAGGAATTTGTAGTTAATGCCACGCTCATGGCAAAATTAGTCAGGCCTGCTGAGGGGATTCCTCCCTGGGTCACTTCCACAGTAAAGCAGCAAACACACATATTGGCAGTGCACCACACACCTATGAAATGGACATTTCTGGACTAAACAATTGCAAATATGAAATGGACATTTATGTACTTGACATGCAGATACTCATTCATAGAGAATAAGCACACATACACAGGGAATTTAGTTCCAATGTGCATTTCAGATCCAGGCAGTGTACCATTTCAGCAAATGTGCAGAAGACAATAGTTGTGCACATGAGTCATGACCTCATCAAGAGATAGATACAAATATTGACACCACTCTTAGTGACATTAATCATTTGAGGGACTTAGCATAAATACTGTTAACAAGGAAAAAAAGAGTGAATCCATCCAAAGATTTTTTTTTTCTTAATGATTTAATTGTAAATAAATAAATGATTTTGTAACCCATCGGCTATTGAATGAAAGTAAAAAGCCTCTGGGAAGATTGACAAACTTTCAGGATGTCTGGTGTAGCGCGAGGTTAGCGATAAAGTGGCCAAGACTTTTTTTGGGGGTGATTTGTCCCTTTTTATAGTCCGACTAGCAACTTAGCTAGACTTCAGAGACGACATCTTTGACCTCAGATGATAGACGATGAGTTCTGGGGTTCAATCACAGCCAATGCATTCTGCCTCTTTAGCTCTCCGCATGACCTGTTTTCCTTCATACAACCAATGCCGCTAGACAGCAACCACAAACCAGAAGGCTTCCAATACTTTAAATGTATTCACCTACCAACAGATGAATTGACACACAGAACATGATTACAGAAATGATATGCAAGAAGCATTGATCTTTTATAACTACAGCGTAAGATAGGCAGTTAACAAGCATTCAATTCAAAATACCCTTTTCTTTTTTTATTATAAAATATACTGCCAAAGGGTAAATTGTCTTTTGAGTGCATACTGGTCAAGACTGTAAAATAAGTGATAATTGCCCCCCATCACCATACACAGATACACACACACTCAGCAGAGGAAAGGCCTCTGACGATCTCTATAAGACACTGACCTGCTTTGGCTCTGTGTGTACAGCTGACAGTTCTTGCTCACAGTGATTATCCGTCCTTGTCCACCTTCTCCACCCCACTTATATGAAATGATCCTCTCAATCACCCCTGGGTGCACACATAAATGCAGTCACACAAACATACACACATTTTTAAGATAAGGTAGCCCCACCTGCTACCCTGCTGCAAAAGCTCCTGTCTCATCCTTGTTTGTACTTCTCTAATCCCTCTGTGTGTGAGGTAGAATTTCAAGAATCAATAATTATTAATTTGAACTTGTGAATCCTGTATTTATGTATGTGTGTGTGTGTGTGTGTGTGTGTGTGTGTGTGTGTGTGTGTGTGTGTGTGTGTGTGTGTGCTAACACAAATCTATTTTCAAAACACTGTTCATCCTCTGGTGACCCATGACACTGTCTCTGTTTGCTTGCTTCATGCTAAGAGAATGCAGAGGATTGCTGCCAGGATATTCACAGCTTTAAGAGATGCATCATAAGAAAAACCTGTTGGTAAGGATACAGACTGAGCCACTATGTTTTTACAGACTAGAGTGAGGCATGCGCTATCAATTGCTGCCCTCAATGAGCCCAGCCTAATACATTAGCTGATGACAGGACAGTGGATCAACATTGTCACTGTCATCTGGGTATTTGATGAGTCATGGCCGAGGAATGAACAGTTTGCAGATCACAGGCGTGAGATTTGTGGTGTGTTGGTATTATTCTTTCTCGGATTATGTTTAGGATTTAAAGAGTCATTCCCTTGATTAGGTTGGGGTAAATGGATTTATTTATAATGCAGGTCATATAATTATAACAAAGATGACATCTGCTTAACACAACGTGGGCATCTCGAACACATTGTTTGTATGCTTGTGGTGTATATCCTACCTCAAAAACACACCTGCAAAATGCAGATTTTTTTTTAACCTTGCATTTTCATATTCATGTCTATTCACTCGCTCTTCCTCTGCGCTCAACTCAACAGAGGCCACTCGTTAAAAAATGGACCACAGCGATATAAGAGGTTAAAAAAAAGTCCACATTGCATAGCTAAAGCTGCTCTTTTTTGTATGTTGTGGATTATTTTTTGGCATATTATGTGGAACAGTAACTGTCAATATCACAAACTGTCAGTCATTACTTATGAAGGCAACATTTCTTGCTTTTTTTCTTGTTATTTTTTCTCTTCTTTAACTATGTCTGCAGTTTAATGTGACCTCTGATAGGTTGTTTTGGTGGATTTGACATGATCTTTTATATATCTTCTGTGTGTTCTTTCTGTACAAGCCATTTGCAGTTTTCATAACACCATCACATGTACTTTTATATTATATTTATGTGGCTTGTAGTTTAAATATTTGTATTCTCGTGTAATATAAATAGCTGTATGTCAGGAGTGCTGTTGTTATAGACTTGCATGCACCCTTTTACTCACGACTTACATTAGTGAGGCTAAAATAGGACTACATGTGGTAATAGGTTTAAAAAAATGTAGAGTGCATCCATCCTTGGTCGGGAGGGTTTATGCACCTGCCTGACTTCATTTACAGGTGTCGACTGATTCTCTCACTGGACGGTCACAGGGACTGACCAAGTGACCTTAACCTTCTGCACCCCAATGCCACATACACACACACACATACGCACACACACACATACACCCAAATACACACTCTTGCTCCTACCCCCAGGGGAAGGTGGTTCAGACTGGGACACAAAGAGGGGCATTATTCTCTGACATCACCTACACCAGTCTACAGGGAGGGAAGAGAGGGAGGAAGGGTATTTCATAATTCAAAAGATTTCATCATAATATTTAACAGTTTTTGCAAACAGATGCTGATTTAAAACATATCAAACTAACAAAAGATATTAAACCTTATTGTCTGACCCAGACTAATTACAGAGCTTGTCTTTAGAATTATATACATTTTTTTACCTAATATATTAAATGAGCACATTAGGGTCACAAAAGAACTCTGGGTCATCTCTTACTGGGTAAAGTTTGGAATGAGCAGTCTACCTCAATGGGGTTGAAAGGGTTTAAAACAATGTATCAATCTGTGTTATGTCTCACTGTCCTGCTGCTGAGTTAGTGCAGGGCAAACAGGGAAGTATTCCCATAAAGAAAGAAGCCACAGTGTGTTTGCATTGCTTTCCTCAGCACAGTGACTGATGAAAGACCAGAAGCCACAGCGAGGAGAACTGCGGACTCGTGCATACTGTTCCCCTCTAAACATCAACACACTAGTTAGACAAATGAGGCTTCAGCCCTCCTTTAACACGGCTCTACTCCAAACTCCAGAGGCCACAGTGCACTAAACCTGGAGCAGTGTCTTTGCATGTGACACTAATTCTTTAACAAAAAGTCTTAAACTTTGTTATTGCATTAGACCATAGTGCAGAATGATTTGAAGCAATGATTAATGATGGACATGTTTTGTCCTAAAGGCTTCTTTCAAGGGATTTCAAAGTATTCAAGTGTCTATTTTTCTCCTGCTATTTTCTTCCATATCATAGCAGCAGAAACAACATAACATGTGGACTCAGCATGGAAAGGTCAAGTGCCACAGTTTACCATAACTCACTGATACCCATGCAGGGCCTGTCTGTTATGACAACGTGCCTCATGGAACTAACTCCCTCTAGAGGTAATGGGACGAGTCGCTGCATTTCAGGCTTGTGTCAACTGGGGGGATTTTATATCTAAACCAAACCATCACTGACACCGAGATTAAAACATGAAAAAAAAAACAGCATAAGACGTTTAATTGATTCATTCTTCTTTGTAATGCTCCCTTCATATAAACTATTAGCAATCTGTTGCATTTATTTAAAGCATTGCTTTCAAAAAAACTGGTACAACTTTACCATGGTGCTCTAACACTTCATCATTTTCATTCAGACAAGAATATGAGGCAAACAAATTGTTAAAGGGCCATATAATCTAAAATCTAAACTCTTTACTCGTCATTTTCTTTCTTAATATCACATTGTCATTGTGGACCCATAATCATCCACCTCGCTCTCTCTCTCTCTCTCGCTCTCTCTCTCTCTCTCTCTCTCTCTCTCTCTCTCTCTCTCTCTATTATAATGTATCTTTTTGGCTTGAGAGACAATCGGAATATTGACATTTAATTTGAATTAAGCAGACAAGTGAGTCTATGCATAAGTCTCACCGACGTCATTTTCACATTTTTAATACATGTTAATGATGTGCATGTAAAGCATCAGGGAAGCGCAGTTGCAGACAGGCATCCTGGACAAGCTACAATACATAGTTCTAAACCCTGGTTGAAATAACTTCAGTATGTGCCCCTCTCTCTCTCTCTCTCTCTTTCTCTGACGCGGGGGGGCTTGTCCTCTAAATAAACTTTGAAGCTTGTAGGGGGAGAGAGAAGAGAGAGAGAGTGGGATAGACGGCAGTGAGGCTGAAGTCATCAGCCGGCCGGCAGGAGAGGACTGAATGGGAAAGTAGAAAAATGAGAAGCGGAGGTCTTCTTTGGTTCACTTTGGTTCAGCGATGAGGTGTGACAGCAGAAAGACAACTTCAACTTGTTTTCTGTGAGTGATTCCATGAAGTAGTTTTGAGGTGGGTTTGACTTTTTGTGCGTTAGCTGATGCTGAGATAAAGCCGACTCCCTCCGCGCGCCTAGCACATTAGGGTCTGCACACACCGGGACGCACGGAGCATCTCCAGGGAGAGACTGGAAGAGGGAGAGGAAGGTCCGTTTGGAGTTGCTACACATGGATATTATCAGTCAAACTTTTTAAAAGTCCCTTTCTTTTCAAACCACAGCTGTATTCACCTTTTGGACCTATGCTGATTGATACTGCTTTCTTTCTGCGCACACCGGATGAGAATCGATCTTTTTGCGGTGTTTGTTTTTTTATTGTTGGAGGGGATGTTCTTCATCACAGCACGGATAACGGATCCCTGACTCGGTCTGGCTCATATGAAGACCTTATTCAGGATGTTACAATCTAAGCGGCCCAGGCATCATTGGGCCAGCGTCCACTACCATCACCACATATCACCACATAGCTGGGGGTCCTGCTGTGTGTAGGAATTATTCTCTGCTCTCCACACTTTGCCTCTAACTGGGGCAAGAAAACGAAATCTCATCCCATAAGTGTTTGGTGAACATTGACATTGGCTTTACGAGTCTCATCTCTGGGCTACTATGCAATTACAATTGATCTCCTTTGTTTTGATCATCTTGCACTGCATGGATTACACTGGTGGTCAGCAGCACAGCAGCTCCAGGCACCGGCAACATAAACGTGAGTATGGGTTGAAGTGCGGAGTATGTTGTACACATCAAGCACAGTCCCTATGTTCTTTCTTTCTGTGTATTGTATTTAAATCAGCATTTCTCGAATTGACGTTAAATCAAAAACTTCACAGACTCTCTTCACCCTCTCCCAAAAAAAATAACTTAATAGTTGCTTTAATTTAGTTATCTAAGTTTATGAATGATTGATAACTTATAGACAGTGTGGTAAATTGGATGAGTCGCACATTATGGTCACTGAACAATCATACCTGTGCGCACAACGGGAAACACTGAACACTTTACATTGTTATGAGTTTTCTTGATATAACTTAATGTTGCATCTTCCCTCCCGCTAATCAATAAGTTACAACAACAACTACAATTGTATCAATTAAAGGGAAAACTAAACCGACTGCCTCCAAAGATTGCGCGTACTTCTGTTATAAAATGCGCAACAAATGTTAATTGGTTTATTTGGGCAAATTCCAGCGCATGCTCCAGTGTATTAGCTATTTGATTGGCGGGATGGATCAGTATATGATACGTCCAGTCATTTAGTCATTTAACTCTACTTTTAATGTGTTTTTTTCTTAAACATTAATTCGATTAATTAATTGTGCCTGACACCTGAAACCTGCATGCACTCGCTCCTCTCTGAGCTCTCTCTCCTGGTTCCCGTCGCTCTCTAGCGGTCACAGCTGCAGACTTCAGACATGGAGTGTGTGCATGTGTGTGTGTGTGTGTGTGTGGCTGAGTGAGAAGGCATATTATTCACAGCTTTAGTTCTCAAATTGGATAAAGTAGCCTCCAAGTTGAATTTACTATACACTGACACATTCTGGACATTTCTGGAGAAAGTTTAATATCACTAAGAACACGGTGGGTTTCCCCTTTACACAGGCAAGAAATAGAACTTAGTATCATCATTTTAAACAATTTCCCTTTTTGTTTTTTACTGCTATTTAAAATACAGTTCCTTAGAAACAGCAGAGATGTTCCATTATTCAAACTCTCTTTACTCTGTTGATATTTCATCTCCCATGTATCTCCCCAAGTGTCCAACATTATGTCTCATCTCTTGAGCTACAACCAACCTTTTTCCATCACACCATGAAACAACTATCAATGATGTATATTTTTCTATTCTTCCTACGCACACTTTATCACTGAGGGTCTCCAGATGTGCTCAGTGACTTAGCCTGAGCAGTGATAGCTGGAATATTCCATGTATCACCCGCCAGTGTGGATGAACAAACTGTCTGTGAGCTACAATAATAGACGTTAAAAGTGATGTTTTTTATCCCTGCCACCTGAGGTTCCAACTTCTCTTCACATTTAATCACAAAGCTCAGAGTAAGATCATTTGGGGTTAACGGTGTGTTTATTACATGGTTTTGAAGAGGTCTCTGGCTCATTTTTGTTCAGTGTTCAGTAGCCTATATTAAGTCAAACGTGCATTTAAGCACAACTCATTTAGGCTTATTAACATTTCACCTGCTGCAAACTGATATTTAAGACATATGTAGAGTGAGAAAATGTACCTGTCCTGTACTGTTTGTTGAAGGTTGACTATTATACTTAAGTTTGTCTTAGTGCTGCAATGATTGAGGATAAAATATGATTCAGCTTTATAGGGTTAAGGTGTTTTAATGTTATATACACTGCGCTTCAACAGGACACACATATTCTCTCTTTAAGTGTTTATTTTCCCCTAAACAAAAGTAAAGAGCCTCTCAACACAGTTGTGAGAGAGCAGGGGGAGCAGGAGGGTCTACAGAGAGAGAAAACATTTACTGAGACTTTAAACAGAAATAACAGTTTGTCTCCTGTGACATTTTCATTTTGGAAGTGAGTGTACGTTTGTTTTTGTTTGAGGTAAAATGCCATTATAGAGTAAAAGATGTAAAGGTACAAATCAAACCTTGTATTATACAGCAGATCCATACAACACGACCATGAAGAAAGTCCACTGTGAGATGACAGTATTGAATAAAAAATAGTCATAATTTGAAATGTTTAGTTAAATTTCTTCCTTTCCAGATGACTTGTTAATTGACAAGTGCTTCTAAGAGTCCGAACTTCCGCAGAGGATGCAGATATCTCACACTTGCAGAGATATGAGGGAGGATGGAGGGATTAGTTGGTGAAGGGGTGAATGAGTACAGATTTCAGGGGGAACAAAGGGGGTAAGAGTGAGCTGGGAGTCAATGACCATTGAGTCAATCTGCCAAAAATTACCAGGCAGCGACTGAACCCGAGCTCCGTGCTTCCTGTCTGTGATGATGAATCCAGAAACGAAGCATGTGGGTGCCTGGGTGATAACAGTGGAAATGATTCAATGTATTATATAGTTTATCAAGATGAGTCAGCTCAGTGGAAAATAAAGATGTCTTTATTTACAGCTTAATTGAATGCTGAACATATGATTCAAAATGTCAGCTATATGATCCATTGAACTCCTATGTTGCTGTACCATTCAGAATTTCTCTATGAATCATGTGTGTGCAGGCATGGGAATGTGTTAATTCATATGCCACTTTAGTGGTATGTTATGCAAGATACCTCTGTCCAAGTGAAATTTTGTCGGTGCAAGGGCAAGGCCAAATTCCTGCGCCTTCAGACGTCTGTGAATCAAGGCAGCTTGACAGGAACACATGTGGGCAAACAGACAGCAGTTCTAAAGATTGTCGAGATATTTCAAACAAAGTATCCTTGATCTATGTTAAACTGGCAGCTTATCCCAGAACCGAGGGAAGAAGGCCAGTGTAAACTGGTGGTATGAGATGCCAACACTGTAGAGGAAATTGTATTACTTTAGTGCTACCCAGGGTTGCATTTGATTTGCCCACTGTGTATGACTCCTGCAAACTGTGTCTTTTGGAGTGAAGCACCAATACAGCATGGGTATCATTGAGTAGTTGTGTGTCAAAGGAACAATGAATATAATTGTAATTGATCAGTACGTTTTTGTTATGATGTAAAAAACAGGATCAGATGTTTAACCAAGAATACTTAGATGTTAACCAAGAATACAGAAGTTTTAAAGGTTTTTATAAACATGTACTGTATTTGCTTTTCTCTACAATACCAGTATAGAAAAGCATTTCACCACTTAATGTATTTCTGGATTTTCTAATGAATGCTTTAATGTTTAATGCGGGACACTGAAGTATTCCATAAACCCTACATGCTAAATTAGTCACAATTTTACAGGAAGGTTGTCTGAGGGTTTACCACCAACAGAAAAGTGAACCCTGGCTTTGACCTTTAGATACGAGGTTGGCTAATATAACTAGTTTCTACAAACAACCCCAAATTGCTCCTGGGCAATGCAGAATATCAATTTTTTCTGTTCAGAAATGTCTTTTAGTTTTTCAATATCGTGCGAAATTAATACCCAAACAATTCCCCTGCTGCTGTCCACAGAGATATCTGGTGTGAGCTCGGGGTGCCAGCAGGGTGGCTGTCTGACCTGCTCAGACTACAATGGCTGCCTGTCCTGCAAGCCGCGCTTCTTCATGCACTTGGAGAGGATTGGGATGAAGCAGATTGGAGTGTGCATGACTTCCTGCCCTCCAGGTTTTTACGGCACACGCTCCCCAGAGAGAAACACCTGCACAAGTAAGCAGCACAAACTGTTTCTGTATTAAAGAATGATACGCCTGTAAGTGTGGTTCCTGTAGCCGAGCATGACCTCTGTGTTGTAAATCCTTTCTTATAACTAACACAAACAGAAAAGCATATCTCAAACTTGTTTGTTTGAGTAACTTGTGTTGTTTAATTAAACGATGGTTGTGGGTCTGTGTCAGAGTGCAGGTCGGAGTGCGACTCCTGCTTCAACAAGAACTTCTGCACACGCTGCAGAGCGGGTTTCTACCTTCACCTGGGAAAGTGCCAGGAGTACTGCCCTGAGGGGATGGGCCGCAGCGACACACAGAGAGAGTGTGTTTCCAGTGAGTGTTTACAGCTTACATGTATCAAACACATGGACCATACACAGGGTTTGTCCTTTATTTAGCTCTGCTCACCTTGTATTTATACCTCATTAGCCATGTGGAGTTCACCAAATAAACCTGACTTTGGAATGAAGCCTGAAATGTGTTTATGTGTTACATTTGGCCACTACATTAAGAGATACACCGATGTTCTTTTGTCTTTGTAGAGTGCCCTGCAGAGTGTGAGTCGTGTGTGAACGGTGAAACATGTACGAGGTGCCGGCCAGGCCTGTATCAGTTCAGCGGGAGGTGCCACCATGTCTGTCCAGAGGACTACGAGCCCAATGACAAGCTCATGGAGTGCATAGCGCAAGGTCAGTGCAGTGCGTGTGTGTGTGTGTGTGTGTGTGTGTCAGAAAAAAAACCAACCCAAGATGCCTGTACTACTTGTGAATGTCCAAAAGCGCTCAAATAGGTTTGAAGAAGAAAAATAAATGATTTCTTGGAGTTCAATCAACAAGTTCTTAACAAATCCTTTCTCCTTAATTTTCCCCATTGTTTTTTCAGTGCACTGCGAGGTGGGTGAGTGGAGCGAGTGGAGCCCCTGCTCGCGGTCTGGTAGAACCTGTGGGTTCAAGCGGGGCCAGGAGACCCGCACACGGTTGGTCATCAAGTACCCATCTCCATTTGGGAACCCGTGCCCTGAGATCTCAGAGATCAAAGATTGCCTGGTCAAGAGGAGGAAATGTCCAGGTAAAGAAAACAAAACTTTGGCACTTTGGTGTTTCAGCATAGGTCAAATACTGGCTCCACATTATTGTGATCCAGCATTTAAAAATGAAATCTGGAAAACCTGGATCACCCTATACAGATATAATGTGTTGGTATAGGATCTGCATCTTTGTTATTTCAAAAAGAAAAAATCCAAATGCTTGAAAGAGCAAAAACAACTATTTTTAAAATGTGCACATTCCAGACATGGCCTTTTGTTGTTGCTGTTGACCCAATCACACCCACTTGTATTTGTGACACATAGCACAATTTCTGCTCTATGAATTCCAGACTCTGCTGCTATACAGCTTGTAGCTACAATCAGAGCGGGTCGTTCTTCCGCTCAGGACTCCGGCTGTTTACTCAGAGGATTGTCATTGTGGTTAGAGGGAGGACAGTGGGGGGAACACACATGTGTGATGTTGCAATGGGTATGCTGTGTGTTTTCCCACGAGACCTCTTTGGACTTTTAAAGAGTAAAACCGCTTTCTCTGCTCCTAGTAAACAAGGAATAGCGTGATCATTACTAATGAAGGGAGTGAAAACTGCTTTCAGACAGGCTCGTCTCCGTTAAGAACCCGATGCTGTGGTGCATTTACGATCGCTTTATGTTATGTGTGTGTGGTTACTGAGCGGGTTGGCAGCTACGGGTGGTTGTTTTTTAGCCTGGGCTCTGCAGTGTTAAATGACAGATTGCAGACAGGGTAGGAGGCTGAGTTCCAGTCCCCTGGGGCCTCACACTTACAGAACAAACAGTGTGTGTATATGTGTGTGTGTGTGTGTGTGTGTGTGTGTGTGTGTGTGTTTGTACTTATGTGCATGTGTGTGTGATGCAGCAGAAAAGCAGTTGACTCTGGCGCAGAAACAGCCAGCTCAACATCAACATCCTCCCCATTGGAGGCACGCGGCGACCAAGGGATCAGTATTGGTTTATCCCCACAGCTGCCAATACACACACACACACACACACACACACACACACACACACACACACACACACACACACACACACACACACACACACACACACACACACACACAGACACACACACACATACGCACACAGACACACACACACACACACACACACAGGCCTACATGCAAACACAAATCCAGCAACAGATACACTCTCTCCATTTCAAATAGGACAAATGTGCCAATACTTGCATGATCTGAAGATTCCAAAAACACACACACACATGCACACTCATGCACATAAATACTTACACATACCTTCTCTGTGTCACTGAAATAACTACAGAGCCATTGCTCTTGGCGGTAATTTGTGAACAGAGTCAACTGGGGTTGATATGATTTGTAAAGGCAGACTGTGAGATGTGCCCTCTGTGAGACCCCTCTATCCCTCTCTCGCTCACTCTCTGTCTGTTTCTCTCTACTAGTCCAGACACTGCTTCATCCCATCCAGACCCACACCACACCAAAGAAAACATAGAACCCCATATAAGCTCACTGTTGGCACCCCCAGTCAGTTGTGTCGGGCCGAGACTTTAGTGTAGAGTTGATGGCTCTGTTGATGTAGCCGGAGCCTGTTGAAGGCCAGAAGATAGGAGAGAAGTGAAAGAAAGAAAGAAAGAAAGAAAGTTGCTTGTATTGCCTCCACTTGTGATTACCCAGTTGCCCCAGCTTCGAGAGCATCTGCGGTGAATGAGAGCTAATTATCTGCTTCGGCGCGTCCTATCCTCGCTGTTTACGCTCTGCACACGCTAGGGGGTCAGTGGTCCGACCTCAGAGAGCCCCCAGTAATCCTCCAGCAGCCCTCAGACACTGATACATCCTCCTCCTCCTACTCCTATCCTCCTCTTTTTGCGCCTTATCCTATTTAAACCTTCACCCCCTTAGTGTAATTCTTTGCTTATTTTCTCCAATTTTACCATCCAGTTACTTCTGTTAGAGCTCAATCGACTTCATAATCTTTTGACTTCCTCATCAAAAACCCAACTAAAATTCTAAAATAGTTGGACGATCAATACCACTTTAACATAGTGTGTAGCTTTAGCTAGCAGTTGATTAGCTAACCATTGCTTACAGACTCAAAACAGGGGAATTAGCTAATTTTTTGTGTGTAAAATTGTCATTTAAAACATGAACCTTAAAAGCTCTATTACTTATATATTGTTTGTTAGTTCCAAAAACTAACAAAAAAAGGAAAGTTGTTGCTCGGATTTACACACCACAGCTATTTCCTGCGTGTAAGGCACATTTTCATAACTCTCAACTAAGCCAGGCTAGCTTTTCTTCATTGCTCACAGTCCTTAAAGTTATCTACAGTAATCCACTCCTGGCACCAGTTTCATATCTTCTGCATAGATATGACACGGTATCAATTTGTCGTATAACTCTCTATAACAATGCACATTTCATAAAATGTCAAAGTGTTATTGAGGCCCCACAGCCTCACAGTTTCCTTTTGGTCCCGATTAACCCTTACACAATGTTTTAAATAACATGCAGGAAAAGTTGCAAAACTATAGAATACAGGCTGACATATTCAGATTTAGATTCAGAAAAACTTGTCTCTGTTCCTGCATTATCAGCAGCAAGAGATTGTGAATGTTTACACTCACATCTTCATCCGCCGCAGTCTCTTTTAAGTTAATCCTGACTAATTTGTCCTTCGATGGACCTGCGGTTCACCTCTCTATCTCTGGAACAGGATAGATCGTGTGCCCTCTGCAAACCTTGACCCTCCCCCTTTAACTCCCACAAAAACCAACACACATAGGCAAAGGCATAATGCATACATAGAAACATACAGTAACTAGTATCAGCCAGTCAGTACGGGGGGATTGATACACACATACACGCACACAACTCATGCACCCCCCCCCAACCCCAACCCCCCCATGACATCCTGGCGGACATGCGGCAGGCATTCCACTCATGGGACAGCCCATAGCCTTTAATCCCAGCCTGGCTCCCGCCAAAAGCTCCCCGGACGACAGAACGCCTGCCATGGAGGATGTGCCATCATAAAATACACAATGCTCCTCCAACCGCAAACACACACGCACGCGGCCACACACACACACACACACACACACACACACACACACACACACAAAACAATGTTTAAAGCCCCTCCGTGTGCTCTTAGACTGCACAGGCAGGAATTATAGAGGAATAACACACTGTAGAGAGAGACACTTTCTTTTTAATATTTTAGGAGTATGCTTCTAAGCTATAGGTAGCTAGTTCAAACAACCATTCATATGGCTTCTTGGTCCATGTAATACACATGACATAAGTAGCTAGCATTTATCAATTTAAGATGAACTTCAGTACAGGCCAAGAAAAACATCCCAACAGCTTTTAACCACCCCATACTGTATCAGCTGCTATGGGCCTGAAATGAAAAAGGTGACTAGACTAAAGCAATTCCAATAAGCTTGCTGGTATACCATATATAAGATAAATGCATTTATTAAATTCTCATAGTAACATCAAACATTAAATACCCCCATACAGTGCAGGGATTATTTCAGGGATGCCTGTTCAAAGTAAACTGTGCCAAGTATTCACATTTTATTATAGTAAACCTTTTTTCAGTCTTGGATTTACTTCAGAGGAAGACATGGATTCCCCAAATCACTTGCAAAAATAAGACCAGCTGTAGCTCTTATTTTGTAGAAATGTGTTGGCGAATATAATAAAACCTAATTTAAATATTGTTAAAGTGTCATGTATTTGTGCCCAAAGCCAACAGCTTATTTACTGCCAGAATAATGCCTCTTTTTGGATGCACTCAGTGTCTGTTGTAAATGATCCAAAACCTCTAAAGGTGTCTAATTTGCAGACCATTACACTTATGTCAGCACACAGTTTACAAAAAGGCCCATCGGGAACTGTTCCAACTAACCAAACCCAGGTTGGTTCGATAAACACTCTCCTAATCATCTCAACATTGGAGTGGATTAGGTTACTCTTCTGGCTGGACAAAAGCTCGGCGGCTACAGTATGACTAATCCACTGAATTTGTAAATAGTTGTAAATGGTGTCAGGGCAGAGAAAACAATGAGAGCGAAGGGGACTTCCTGTGTTTATAGAGGACAGGGGGCAGACTCCAGTGAGTCAGTGCACCAGATTACTCCATCTGTCAGTTCCATCCATCCATGCATGAGGCATTCACTTATTCTTGATTTCTATTCTATTATAGGCTACTTACTTTTTGAAGACTTGTATATAAACTATGTGAACACTGTCCTTCCTCAATTGTATTTATGCACTTGTTCAAATATGTACTTAAAACCATCTACTGTCCTTTTGTTTGTTTTTTTTCCACTATTTTTACAAGAGGATTGAATTTAGTGGATAGGTAGAGCTATGTACTATAATGTGTTGGTGGGACATGGTTCTTGTTTCCTGATAGCCCTGGCTTAACTAATAAACAGACAAAGAGTTGAGAGGATGAAAGTACATGATGCGGACAGGAGGGAGACAGAGAGATCTGGTTTTCTCTCTCTCTCTCCCTGTGTCTGTGCCTACTGCCGACTTCAGCACTTTCACAATCCCTGACTGGCCGGCCAGCCAGCCGAGCAGGCCGTGCCGCTCCGTTCCACTCACACATGAACAGCAGCAGTCCAACAACAGGAAAGGTTGCAGGTCCTGTCTCCGACCTCCCTGGGGGTGGATCTTGTTATTATCATTAATAACTGTAGCTCGAGCAGAGATAAACCTTCAGCATTCCAAAACTCTCCGTTTTGTTTATGAGATGGTGTTGCAAGAACAGATAAATGTGGGGCTTATTTAAAGGGTTTCTATTTTGGACTAAGGTCTGCTCATCACAGGGACGACTGCTGTGTGTGGTTAAAGACTGACATCTAGTGGTGAATACAGATCATCGCGTGGTTGTCTGCGTTCTGTTATGTGTTTGAAGCTTTAAACAAACTATGGTACTCTTAGTAAAAAGGAACGTTTACATGTAAATCATCTTTTCATACATAATGATGCATTGAATAGTTTGGGTTGTGATTTATTTTTGTTTGTAAAACAAGCAGCAAAATTACATTATTGTGTACAAACTTTAAAACATCACATTTATCCCAAGCTGAAATGTCTTTACAAATTGAAATAGTTAATCCTGTATGTTTTGAGACATTCTATTTTTAATTTCAAATGCTTAACCAGCTTTAATATCTGACATGTAGACCTTCATTTTGGCCTTCTCTGTGGCTGTACCAATTGCAGTATGCTACAAAGGGAAATTCTGTTTGTTTTCACCATGTTGCATTTTTTTTGCCAGAATAAGAATTAGTATATACAGATTTTGTATTTTTATATTTGATAATTATTTACATTATGATTATTTTTTGTTTCTTCTAGGAGGACGAAGGAAGAATGATCGAAGAGAACGAAGGAATCGCAACAACAGGAAAGATAAGGAGAACCCAGAGGTGCGAAGGGAGCGGAAGAAAGAGAGGGAGCGAGAGAGGGAGAGAGACACAGGTGAACGTGAAGACTCTGATAACAGGAACAAAACAGAGCACCGGCATCGCAGAGGCCATGACATAGACCCTGTCTCTCCTGATGATGGCCTTGTACAGTAGAGCACATCATCCTCCTCTTTAGATCCCAATCCTTACCCTCTGGTCACTCCCCTCTTCGACCCCTCTCTGCAGGGGTGTTGCTGCTACCTGTATGATTTGAAAATAATGTTTATGCACAAGCAGGATGGGGCACATTCAGCCACAAGGCTCAGGCCACTATGGACTTTGAAAAAGTCATTTTTTTTATCTTCCCTGTAGCCTCTGCTCCTCCTCGCTCACCACTGAGAGAGTGTCTCTGCTGAAAAGTGCAGAAGACTCCGCTGAGACTGCTGATGGGACTAAAGAACACAATGAGAAATGTGTGTGCCTGTGTGGAGGACTGACAGACACAAAGACAAAGACGTTACACTATGTGCTTGTTGATATGATTATTTAATGGGGCCCTGGTACAACATTGTGCGTCTTGGTTTTGAATGTAGATTTTGAAACATAATGTAGAACTATAGTTTATTATTGTTGTTCCTGTTCTTTAGATCGCTTTACTTTATTTTATTTGATGCAAAAATGTGTAAAGAACAAATAAAAGTTAGTTTGATATTGCCATTTTGTGACATATTCACAAAGACAGATGTGGGGAAACCTGCATGCTGAGAGTTAATGGCTCAAAAACTGAAACCATAAACATGAGTTCCGTATGTTTTGGACAAAAACGAGTTTTATCCTAAAATGTGATAAATCTGATTGACCATCATATTCCTTTTTTTGTGTAAATGGAATCTGTCCTCTGTTAAGCTCCTTGAATTGGAACCAAAAGCACCTGTATGTCAAATAAACTATATTGGGTTTGTACCTGTGTCTGTTATCTGTTTTTGACTGACACCTTGTGCAGTCTTTTTTCAAACATGCACATTTAACAGGAAATGGAAATGGAAAGTAAAGGTGAGCAGTGAGTGAGTGAAGGGCTGCAGTACAGCTTCACAAACCGTAATACCTGTCCATGATCAGTCTGGTAGATATACGTATAAAAATCTTGGTGCCATTAAAGTCACTGAATGGGCTGTGGCCCAATATCTTACACTTCCTGAGTACTGACTGTCAGAAAATGATTTAGTTTGAACCCATGCATGTGTCAAATACAGTGTGCCAAGAATATCAGAATGGCCTTCTACTGCTGCCATTCTCTGTGAGGCAGAAGGTACCTAATATTAACTGAGCCACAGAAGAATGAAAAGCTCATGTAACAGGTCTGCTGAACAAATCTGGAGTAAAAGTTTCAATAATCTAGTATTAGTTATCAATTAAGATTGAGATTTAATGTCATCAAGGCAAAGGGCACAGATAGATATGCAGACTGATACATTTATGGACAAGAGGATTAAAGTTCATGGTATCATTTCAATTCCCTATTGTATCCACTCAGCATTATACAAGTTATAGAGTAGCTGCAGTTTGCACAACAGTTAAGACTGCGATAAGAAATGCAGGGAAACAAAGATAGCACTGAAGGAAAACTGCCTTATAGTTATGGCAGGTATTTGCTGCGACAATTCTGACATACATAAAAAGTACCTGAATGGTATGTAGATCCAACTTCAGAGAGACTTTTATTTTTTTAAATGTTGGTATATAGTTAATTTGAGTAGTGGCATACATTGGAAACTACATCTAAAGCGTTCACTATAAAGTAACCTTTACAGAACCAAATTTAGCATAAAATAAAGATTAGTCAGATATTGATTAACCTTCTCAGTTTCATGTGTTTATGTGCAAGCAGGCTAAATTATTCTTGAATAACAAAAAAAGAAAAAAGAATCCCACTAAACTGTTTATTGGTGGAGTGAGAATCTTTGTTCACCAGGTACATCTATTTGCATCAACAGGCATGATGACAGTATTTCCTCCTCATTCGATCAGCAGATAAAGACTGTACATGAAAATATATGAATCTTTTTTTAGAGTTGACATTTGCAAAAAATAATTAAGTCACAGTACAATGTATGTACACAAATCATAGGTTAAACATAAAGCCATATTTGAAAAGCTAAGTGGAATGATACTTAGCAAAAGGACTGTGGTTAAAACCAGGATTTTGAATCAAGATAATCCTACTGCTATGACAAAAACAAAAGAGGAAACACTGTGACGGATCTTTAGATTTACCCAGATGCCTTTAGGTTAAGACAGAACAATCAATCACAGATGTTGATGTTTTCAACTAACGTCATGCCCCTGTTCACTTCATATTAGCCACAAAATCCTCGCCCTTCTTGATGGAAGCCTTCAGCTCGCCAATGGCATCAGCCACCAGTTTCTCCTCGAAGGCCGTCAGCTTTCCCAGCCCCAGGTTCTTCTCAATGCCGTTCTTTCCCAGGAGCAGAGGTGTTGAGAAGTACTTGCACTCCGTCTCCTCAGACCTGACGTAGCCACACTCAACCACACCTTCCTTTCCATTCATGGCGTCGAGGACTGAGAAGGTGAAGCGGGCACCTGCATAAGCCATGGACAGGGTTGCAGATCCGGCCCCAGCCTTGGCCTTCACCACCTCTGTGCCGGCCTCCTGGATCCTGCCGGTCAGAGCGGCCAGCTGGTCAGCAGGGAACTCGACCTTTGGTGTGCACTGGGAGATGAGGGGGATGATGGTCTTCCCAGCATGACCTCCAATGACTGGTACGTTGACACGAGCTGGGTCAAGGCCTTTAAGCTCTGCCACGAAGGCGTTTGCTCTGACAATGTCCAGGGTTGTGACACCAAACACTTTGTTGGGGTTGTACACTCCATGTTTCTTCATGACCTCTGATGTAATAGGTATGGTGGAGTTGACCGGGTTGGCGATAACGCAGATCATTGCCTCTGGGCAGTAGCGTGCGCAGGCATCGGCCAAGGTGGCTACAATGGTGGCGTTGGTGTTGAAGAGGTCATCACGGGTCATACCTGGTTTTCTCGGCACACCGGCGGGGATGACCACAACCTCGCAGCCCGTCAGAGCAGCCTCCAGCTGGTCTGGTCCCATATGACCCGTCACCTGGGCTCTGGTCTCGATGTGGCTGAGGTCCGCAGCGACCCCGGGGGTGTGGGCAATATCATACAGGGAGAGTTGACTCACCAGGGGGCTATTCTTGAGCAGCAGAGAGAGCGGCTGGCCTATGCCGCCGGACGCTCCTAGCACCGCCACCTTGGCGTTGTTCTGCGTGGAGGTGGACAGGCTCCGAGCGAGGCTGACGGAAGGTCTCACTGCGCGGGAAAACATTTTGTTTCTGTTGCTTCTGTTCTGTCTTTAGTTGAGAAATAAACACTTGAAGAGCCCCTCTCTCTCTCTGTGACACCAACGTCCTCTAGCCACGAGCGAACAGGAAGACTCTTGAACTGACATGCGTCGAAAGAAGGCGTCGCGCAGTGTTGCGTCATATTGCGTCATATTGCGTCATTACGCAACGCCATTACGTCGTTGTCTTTATCTGCGCTTTTTTCAGAGGAAAACAAAAAGCCTGCTAACATTGGAAATCGGGAAATTACCACTTGGAATAAGTAGCTGTTACACGAATTGTATCTGCGCATCGAAATAACAAAGTATATTCCAACAGTACGGTACGTTGTGGTTTCTAAGGCCCTTATCTGTGCTGTTTATGTCTCCTTAAGCTAGCGCCGTCACATGAACTCCGTCTATTTGCTGGAGTCAGAGTACTGCTGTTAGCTTAGCATGCGTTAGCTACAACAGCTCTTATTGTTATGATCGCTTTGTCATTCGCTTTGTCCCTATGTGCTGTTTGACCTGTGATTATATATAACCTACAAACAAACGACTTGATGTTTGCTAACTATGTGTGAAAGCTAAAGTAGTTTGTGTGTTGATCGTCAGCTGTGTTTATCAGCAGCCTTCACAGAAGGCCAGCTGGTTAGCAGGAAACTTGTTAGCTGACACAGGTCATTGTTTGTAGTCAGTTAACAGAAAGGCCTTTGTTCCACATACTTAAACCTTTGAGTCACATTTCAGTCATAGTTTAGCTAATCCGTTTTCACATCAGCTTGTTTTTCACAGTGTTTGTTTGTCTAATGAGGTTAAAGGAAGTTTGGTTTTGCTTGTGATAATTGTTCTTGATATCATTTTAACTGACTTCTTTTTTTGTTTTGGTAGTAGCAAGTTTGAAGTTTCACCAGCTCTCCTCATGATTCATCAGCATTAAGAGTACTTCCAGTAAGTATTCATGAGCATGTCTGTCAACCTTTATTAGAAGATAGATAGATATAATCTTAATGATCATTGTATACAAGGACACAACGAAACTTTGTTAGCAGCAATCCTAAACAGCAGCGTTTACAAAAACAACAACAATATATTTGTGGTGACATGAGAGAGAAATATGCAAAAAGTGGTCAGAGCAATTGCTGTTCAGTGAATGAATGATAATAATAAAACAAACAGTTGTGGTGACTGAAAGAATATATAGTTATTATTTTGCAGTGACTGATTAATTAAACAAATATAAATATAGAGATATAGTGCAAATAAGTGAAGTTATAGAGCAGTGACAGAGTATATACAGTTATAATTGTGCAGTGACTGGATGAGTAAATAAACAGTTTTAGTGCAATGAATAAATAAATAGACAGTTAAAGTGCAGTGATTGAGTAAATAGATAGCCAATTATAAAGCAGTGAATTACAAAGTTATTGCACAAGTAATATTGAACGGTTAGCAGCAGTTGGGTAATTATTGCACAATTATGCAGTTATTATTATTGCAATTATTATTTATTAAGTTGGGATGTAAAATCTAGCATCGTTCTATATTTATTAATCTGTTGATACTGATTTGTGTGCAAGAAACTTGCAGACCAGTATTTATTTTGTTTTTAAGATATTAGCAGTAAAAGAAAAATGTATTCTTTGTTGCTATTTAAGTGGAAAATGTAATCATATATGGATCTTACAACACAAAATCCAGAGTTGATAATCCTTAATACTAATATGAATTTTCCAAATGATTATTACCCAAGAAAAAAGATCTGTCACTACGTGCTCTGTATAATCTTTATTCACTCTTGATCCCGTGCCGTAGAACTTCCTAAGGATGGCTAGTTGTGGAGAGGTCGACCACTCTGTTAGCTCTCTTCCATCCAGTAAGAAAGGCAGCAACAGTGGTGGAGGAAGTGGAAACGGTGCAGAATCATCATGCTCTGGCTCCAGCAACTCATCCCCAGCCCTATCTGTACCCGAGTGTGCCATCTGTCTGCAGAGCTGTGTCCACCCAGTCCAGCTGCCGTGCCATCACGTCTTCTGTTTCCTGTGTGTGAAGGGAGCATCCTGGCAAAGCAAACGCTGTGCTCTCTGCAGACAAGAAGTACCGGATGACTTCCTGGAGAGGCCTACACTTCTTTCTCCAGAGGAGCTTAAGGCATCAGCAGGAGGTCGGGGTGGTGCAACGAGTGATCACGCCTGGTATTATGAAGGTAGAAATGGATGGTGGCAGTATGATGAGCGAACCAGCCGCGAGCTGGAGGACGCTTTCTCCAAGGGGAAGAAAACAGCTGAAATGCTCATTGCTGGTTTTTTGTATGTAGCCGATTTGGAGAACATGGTACAGTACAGGCGCAATGAGCACGGGCGTAGACGCAAGATGAAGAGAGACGTTTTGGATATCCCCAAGAAGGGAGTGGCAGGACTGCGTTTGGACACTGAGGGTGTTGCTGTGGCCATCGGGGCAGTAGCAGTAGGTCGAGAAAACTCTGCTGACGGGGCTGATACCACAGTAGCAGGTGTACAGCAGCAAGTTCCAGCCACCACCAGACCTCCCACCTCCCTCGGTGGTCAGCCTGGTAGCAGCAGCAGCAGCCCCACTCTGGAGGATGCTCTCTCCCAGCTTCAAATCACCAGGCCCACTCTTCCCCATGAGCGGTCTGAGGCTGGGGAAGGTGAGGAAGAAGATGAGGAAGAGCAGGCCTCACCCTCCAGGTCCTCTGACCCTCACACCTCTGTGGACGAGTCTGGCTCCGGAGACTGGAGTGACGATGAGGAAGAGGAGGATCAAGAAGAAGAGGGGGGAGATGGGGAGCATGTGGAGCCGTGGGAGGATCGTCCAAGAAGGCAAAGACTGAATCCAGAGGACAGAGCCCCTCCTGGTGCAGAATCCAACTCTCCCCCCTCTTCATCCAGTAGCAGTGGAAGGTCCAGAATGCCTGATGGCCAGTGTACAGTGACTGAAGTGTGAAGTCGTCATTGAAATCTTCAGTAAACAGCTCTGTTCCATTTAATTAATTTATTCCTTACTTTATGCTGCCGTTCACTCTGTCACAGATCTGATGTAGGTGGATGGCTGGCTACAGAAATAATTAAGCAAAAAGTACTTCCTGATTTTAGTTAAGAGCTCAATTTTAGTGATCAAAGTTGGATCCTTTATTTTTTGGCTCTCTCAAATGTGCTCATATCTTCATGACTTGTTTGTCAGTCTCATCCAGCATATACCCAGCCAGAAGGACTAATGTCGGGTTTTCATGTTCCAACACTGAGGCAGGAGGGACAGCTTGGTGAACTGCCAGATGGATACAGCATGTTGTTGTGAGCCACAAAATCTCACAATTGTCAATCCAGAACATCATGTGAGGCCAGTGTAAACAGTCTTATGATGTGTTTAGCTGCCATCAGTCTGGTCACTTAATGCACACTGTTAAGTCTATTCTTTTCAAAGTGTAGGAACTATGACGGAAAAGAGACTTGCTAAACAGCTTCTACCAATCCTTTGTATTCCTGTCTTGAAATGTGTTATCCTTATGAAAAGAAGCTTTCTGCGGGCCTCTTCCAGATCTGTGACGTGTAAGAAAGAAAGCATAAATGGGGATGTTTCTTCTGGAAATGGAACTGCATCTCTTATCATGAACAGCTGCATTCTAATCATCTACACTTTAACTCTCTCAGCTAACATAGCACACAGAAACAGGCTTGTTAGAGCTCAAGTCATCTGACTACTCTTGGAAAGAACTTAATCTTTGATAACTCCAACTCCAGCCCCCCCTCAGTGGTTTTCCTCAATTCAGATTAACGGATTAAGAAGCTTTACTTTAAATTTCTGAGATATAAATGTAACTTTTAGTGGAGTGTCATTTCAGACTTGACTGTGCGGTAAGTAAATATCTTAAGGTTTTTTTAACCAGACAACGAATGGAATCTAAAAGTACTTCCTGATGCTCTTAGGCTATGTAGGTCTTAAAATGTCACACTTTTATGCTTTGACATTGTAACGTAACTCTCCAGTCCACAGGATTATCTGGCTTCCTGTTATAAAAGACTGTTCATAACAGAAGAACGTGCTTCAAAAATTTCTTTTAACCCCCTCCCAGCTTTGAACAATTGGCATTTTAATGTGGAGTTCAGTGTTTCCTTTTTAAAAGCTGTTGAGGCCTCTGAAGCCTCTTAAAGTATTCTTATCGTCCCTGATTAAAAGTATTCTAAATTGGTGTTTCTAAAGTGGTGTGATTTGTGCATGTTTGAAGAGAGAGTTACTTAAACACTACTGGTCAACAGGATGTTAAGAATTGATCTTTATTGGGGTTGAGTTTGAGTAAATGTTTATTTTGTCTTTGTTTCTGCATTTCTTCTGGTTGTAAATCCTCTTTATGTGCGATGTCTGAGGAGGAACAAGAGCAAGAATCTGCCATCGTCATTGGCCATGCTGCAGAGATTTCAAGTTGTTATTTTTTTATATTTCTGACATGTTTAACATCATCAGCTCGGTCTTAGACTCTCCATTCTGAAGAATAAAGTTTGTGTAACAGTCTTTGCTTGGCAACCTTTTGTTACATTGTTTGTAATTTAAGAATAAATTGTGTCATTTCATCATCCTAAAAGGAGAATATATTGATTTCCTGTCTATGATTATTGGAAAGGTCTTGCTCTAGATATATATGTAAGCATAGATATATCTGTTTTGATGGTAACAAAGGAAGGACTTTCAATGGGCCCCTTACAAATTCAATCCCTCCTTCTTTGTCAATCTTCCTTGTAAACAAAGGACTGAAGTATTCAACATTGATTCTTAGAAAGACTTATTGCAGAATCAGGAAAACCACATGGGTAGCTTGTGTACAAGATGAAAAAGCTCTAAAAAGAAGGCACTGTAAAAACTGAATCCAAATTGCGAGCAGATGCAAATAACTTTTTCAGTGACTGAACTATGCACACAAGTGTACTGCGATGTATTTCATAATGAGGTTGACTTGACACTTGACTTTCCCTCACTCACCTTGTGGGCGTTTGGTATTCTGAGCACAGCGACTGTCAGCGCTCCAGCTGGCTGTCTGGCCAGGAAACATGACCTCTAGAAGGGAACAGGAGATAAAGGCGTGGCGTGCTCCAGGGACATGTCCTGCTCTTGTCATTTCACTCTGTTCCACTCTTTGCTCTGCAGTGTAATTTGTCATACAGCCTCTCAAACATGCTATGGAAATGAATCTGCAAATTTGAGACAAGCCTTACAGAGCGCAGTATGTTTATTATCACAGTTGAAGCTGGCTCTGTGCTTCAGCATGCAGAGTATTTAAAACAGCCAAATGATGTTCTTGCAACAGGATAGATACAAATAGACTGTGGTTAATTTAGGCACAAGAGTAACTGGAGCTAAGCTGAATATTATACAACTTAACTTGATAAAGCGTAGCATTACTCTCAATCCTGCAGACGGATGTAGATGTCTCCAGCTTGTTACACCTCATCAGTATCTTTCTGACATCTGCTGCTGCTATCCGTCCGCCTCAGTGAGACTTAGCCTGGCATGATCTGATCATTACCATAATTTTATTTTCAGGGGACATGGAGGAAAGGCAGGGCTCCGTTGCTTGATGATCATAGAGATGGCCACTGATTCCTGATATCTATTATTTAATGGAGGGGCTAAAAGTTTATTTAAAATATGTATGCAAGTCCTCAGGTACAGTTTCAGACTTCTTTTTAGGGATAATGACAGAGCATATGTCAGGTCAGCTAACAGTGTTTTCATCCAAGAAGACACATCCACATGGCATCTGTTTATATCAGCAACGTTTAATATATTTGTAACTCTGCACTTGCTTTTATGACAATCAGGCACAACACGTCAGAGGATTACCAAAGAGCATTCAAGTATGCAAAACAATATGCACTCTTGTGAGTATTTGACAGTACCACACTGATAATGTTTTGTTTGTAGTTCTTAACCATAAATAGGAAACCCTTTATCATCCAGTGCACCTTGTATACACAACATTCACCTATATGAAAGGAATTGTAAATGTCTTCAGCACAGCAAAGAGCAAAGGAAGTTTATCCATTTCAGTCCAGAGTACGTCTCTTTGTCCCCAATCGGCCTTTTCAGAATTGTCTCAGTTGGACATCACATCTGGAAGGAGAAGCTCTTCGAGAACTGAACACAGATGCTCATTTGTGTTTGGGTTTGCTGGCCAGAGCCTGCAGGTTAGCCGGACCCCCCCAAACTGTCCCAAATACATCCTTCTCAGTTCTCAGAGCATCAGACAGGGGGAGCTCTCGTCCTGACAGCACCACCTTCTTCACAGCCCGGATCACTGGGGCAGCTCCTTTTGTGTAACGACTGAGCCAGTCTTCAGCCTGCTGTAGAGGGAGGGCATCCTCTTCCGCCTCCAAGACACCATCTGCCAGTCCAATCTGCAGGCCGAGTTCTGGTTCCACCTTGAGCGCACCACCGAGTAGCTTCAGTGCATGCTGGCTTCCTACAATGCGGACGAGTCGAGCAGCACCGCCCCAGCCCGGGACTAGACCCATGTGTTTATGGACAAACTGGATCTCACTGCCAGATGCCATTAACCTTTGACAGAGAGATGAAAGACACCAGTTAGATCATAGGAATGTAAGTGTTTTTTTTTATTCACTTCAAGTCAAATACATTACCTGAAATCGCAGGCAGTGATGAGTTCTGCACCACCTCCTAGTGCTCTGCCCTCCACCAGAGCAACTGAGATCAGAGGCAGCCTGCACTGAGAGAAGTAGACTGTCACCACATAGGAGTGCACTTTGAATAATGCTTCATTTTAAACTTCTGACGACTTCGACTGACGACTACTTTTTTGCCTGCATTGAAATATAGTTAAGTACTTGAGAGGAAATGATAGCTCTTACCTGAGTAGTCTTGTTAGTGTATTCTGCATGAACATACACATCTTCATCCCATCCTACAAGGCAACAATAATAATTTAGGCAAGTACACATCCAGGAGACAACAAGAGAAAGACAAGCTGAGACAAAAGAAAGAGGGAGGCAGGTACTTTCTCTGCTCTGCTACCTGTGGGTTTGAAATCGCCCTGACAGCGTTGAGGTCCGATCCAGAGCAAAAAGTTCCAGAAGAACCCTGAACAATGAGGCCTTTACAGTCCGTCCAGCTCTCCAGCTGGCTCACCCTCTCCTCCAGGTCCACCATCATACTGCCTAAGAGGAAGACAATAAACCTCAAAACAATGACGCACTCATACATGAAGTACCAATTATAGGTGTCTAGTTCTGAGTATGTGCAAATGAGTTTCATTCAGGAAATAAAAACTCTGCACTAGTCAAAAACACATTATTATGTATCCACTTTGTCTCCTTACCAGAGAAGGCGTTCATGCGGGCGGGGTTGTTGATGGTCAGCACAGCGATGCCTGACTCCTGTTTGAGAAGATCAATGGATCCTCCAGGAAAGGCCTGCAGCTTCTCTCGGATCTCGTCCTGGTTGAAGCCGTGGGTAATCGAGTACACACAGCCCCGGCTCTGTCTCTGCAACAGCCTTGGAGGAACAACATTTATTCGAATGCAACAAATTACAGTCAGTCAATATTCAAATCAAAGCTTACACCTTTTTTAAAAGCAGGAACTGTTTTAAATGGAACCCAAATAAATGACATTTTCTGACACATTACCAGTATGTAACACTTTACACTTTTCTTCAGAATAGATGTTTGCTGTAACCTAAATAATTCTTTTTTATTATCAAATCGATATGCATACAATTCACTGTACTATAACTGGTATAATGAAGTGTCTTGGAGAGGGAGAGGAGATAAGACTAGTGTTGCTCAAGACTGAAAGTGAAAGCTTGCATTGACAAACAGCAACACAATGAATGCCTTTAATACCCCTTAATTCTTTTCAGCTTGAAGAAGATGTGATACAGACCATGCAAAACTATTCTGACTCTGAATCATTGCATGTTTTAATCCTCTTCAAGAAGTGATTACTTTGAGAGAGAAGCACTTAACATATTTAAGCACCTTAGGAATGCACTTTGTCTTTGTGGGTGATCACTGTAACCATGGTAACAAAATGACTCTTTACCTAGCCCAGGCTCCACAGTTGCTTCTGCTCAGGAGTTGTCGCCTCAATGCACACAGAACCATCATGCAGACTGAGAGAGAGAGACATAATTCACTTTTACATCCTTTGGAAGAAATGACATCAGCTACATAACTTACGCTAAAAAAAAGAAGATTGCACACATTTCTTATATTTAAGCTCAGGACCTAAGAACATTCAAGTTACCATCGAGACTGAGTGAAAACAGTAGCAGCTAATGTTTTAAGGATATTATAAAATTAAAAGAAATAGAATCTAATTAAATCTCCTGAGAATTGAGCTGGGACTCTGACACAAACCCTCCTATTGAATCTCGTATCAATACCTGTGTGTAGTGACTTTTAAATAATTCCCCCATCATATGACATAAATGTTACGCAACAATTGTTAAGCTGACAATGGCTAAATAGCTGTTTATCCCAATTCCCCCATGAGCCACCAAATACATTAATTCATTCAATACAGCATTTGATAGATGAGTTGACTTTTTTTTTATCGTAATACTCCTTTTTAACCACATAAAGTATCTAGCCTACTTTGGATTGGTTGATATATTGTAGGCACTCAGGTGTTTTCATCAGTGATATCAATCTGATTAGAGTAGGCCTAATTGAAAACACCTGTGTGATTTGTCTGGCTCTTCATGAGTTAACGGGAGCTCTGCTTCATAACAGGAATCAAAGGAGAAAGGGAAACATTTGAACTCGAAAATGTTATAAAATATAAACTGCGGAAATAACTTTTAGGCTACATTAATAGTTTTCATTTAGGCTGTTCATGTCTTGAAACGTTTACAGGTTAGACCACTTCTTCAGGAAAGCAAATGTTAGTACAAATTTTCATGAAATTCATTCATCTTGGTAACTTAGTGAAATGTATTATTCAAGTCTGTCTCCCACCTGTTAGCACTCCTACTTTTGGGGGTCTGAAGCTGTAAACTTATATGGGTGAAACACCTAAATTGTAGCAGATCTTTATTTGTGAAGGAGCCAACCATATGTTGTCAACAACTGTTTTCTAGACAAAGAGTCTACATCTGTTATGTATACAAATCAGTGTCATGTCATCTTTATTGTTTTATAGTGATGAACCCAAATGGAAAGGAATTTGTGGGTTGCACCTTTTAACAGAATACAAGCAGCACTGTGAACACTGTTACTTTGTCAGTGATTTGTCAGTCAGTGATTTGTAAGCATGCATGTTTGGTTACGAAAACTATTCGATGGTCTCACGTCAGTGTTTTAAATTGGTTTACCATTTGTTGGTTTGCTGTAAATCACTGTATCTTGTCATTTGTAAAGTGAATGTCATCGAAGGTTTTAGTGTCCATCTCTAATTTGACACATTTTGTCGTAACTCCTACAAACAGAGCAGCAGATACAGTTAATATATTTGAAACATGTTTTACCTTCCGATAGTCCGATATGAATAATATTAATTATGATAGAAAGCCATTTACCAACAAAAAATACAGTCACCAACCTTGCTTATTTACAGTTGAGCGGTGTTACACTGAAA